TCTAAACCCTAGGTTTAAAACACATCAGGGTAATTAGTCAGGTCTTCTGCGCCTACATCGGGCTCGTTTTTAAAGGATAAAACATACGATTCACTTGCAAGGGCCGGTCACAAAATCTGACACCCAAGTAGTAAATTAGATAACTCCGGTCTGCTTGACTTTGCGTTGACACGAGACCGAAGGGGAAGGGGAGAGTGTGATAGATGCTTCGCAAGTCCATTACCACCATCAAGTAATTTGCACCAGTAGCCTTACCTGCTGTGGGACACACCGTAGATACCGTCCGTTACAGCGTTCCAACTGTCATGTCATGCAAGATGGATAACGATTTCGCTGAATGTAATGTCACTTTTCTTGAAATTTGACTGTAGTTTCGGTTACATTATTCAAAACTTCGGCAATTCTATTGATCATCGGTGAATTGTTAAAAGAGTATCTAAGAACCCAAAAGTTCATGTGTTCGTTATGGTGTCGTGGAGTATATTTCACTAGTAAAACTTTTACAAAAATAATTGAAATTGAGTACAATGCAATCTGACCAAGTACTTATAAAATCTTAATGAAGTCTTTTTGAAGCATAACTGCTCATGGGTAAAGTTGCAGGTGCAAACATTAACGGTTTATTTCAGCGGAACTTGCAGTATTCGGCTCGGGTATATATATGAATCTTGTTATCCAGTTTTTTTACTGAAGACATCCAATGACAGTCGTCTTCGCAATTACTGAAATACGCAATGCAAATCGCACGTAATGATGTCAGAATTCGTTGTACACAGCCAATGGGAATGTGCCGTGGACTTGAGTAGATCTCGTTTAACAATCCAATTCACTGAAAGGGCCACGGGCATCCAATTTCCCAATTCTTGCCCTACCTACAAGTAACATATAAAATGACGGATTTCGTTGCTGAAAATCTCCGAACACGGAGTTTTCTTCGTTATCAGGGGTGATGAATTCGCTGAGGATTTCAAGTTCTTGCCAAAGGATAATTCAACCGCCAGTTTTCGAAACAAGGACGGAACTTGCTATTCTGTACACGCGCATTGTTTAAAGCCCGCGGTTTTCGTCTTCGATTGCTGAACGTTTAGTTATGTATTTACCAAGTTTTTCCGCGGATACTGTAAGACTGAAAGTGAATTACTTATCCTTCTTTTACTTGCATAAGGCTCAGAGGCAGATGACATCTGAGAGGCTAAGAGGAGCTTCTGATGTTGCCGACTTCGACATCACGTCCCAAACGTTCCGACTGGTAACTAACCTCTACGCAGAAAAACGTCTGTATTAGGTCTATCAAACGTTTTTGTCTGAACGGCGTACGAAATACCATTCACTAATGGATTGCAATGACAACTTGAAGTGGAACTTCTGACCATTCTTCCCGTGAAGAGTTCAGTGAACTCGTGAGTTTTCAACCGTAACCAGGTAACGGCAAAACCATCTGCTAATGAAACGCGGATCTCCTATTAAACATCAGTCTATCGGGATTCAGATTTACACAGCATACTGGCTGCCCTAAAAACACTGCAGTTAAATTTATTTAAATACGTAAAATACAGCGGCTCAAACATGCAGTTAGATTGTAACAGATATACAGTAGATGTGCTAACTCATAAAATGCTAACCGAAATTCTGAAATGCGTTTTTGACTCGAAAAGATTACTTAAGTGGGAGTTTTTGTATTAATTACTATGTAGCATAATCCCATAATAACTTCATTAGCTCAAGATGCAGATTTTTAAATGAACTTCTTTCTGGTCGCCTGCAAAAACTACTCTATGTAAAAATGATAAAATAGTTCACAGGAATTTTTCTAATCGATTTTTAGTGCTTTTATAAATTCAAATATATCTCATAGAAAATAAGCATGAAAATATCCCCTCTTTTACTCATTTCGTGGAAAATTATGTATTCTTTTAAGTCTATGCTTGAAGGATGAGTATAATTTGGTTTTAAAAAAGCTTTTAATTTTGACCATCTAAGGCCGTGAAACGCCTGTCCATAAAACATCGTGTCTCTGCATTTACTAATGTTGCTTGTCAAGTTTATAATAAAGCTCAAATCTACTGCCAAATTTCATGAACCCCATGTAATTCCCTCTTAATACCGCATAGGTATTTTATCCTCGGTTTTCGATGCTCTCACAAAGTAAAACATATTTTGCAAAAAACATCATCAAAATCTTTTTTCTTGTGCTCATTTTATAGCAAATCATATCGTCTTCGATTATTATTCTTGAGGAAAATTTGAAAACGCTTGTAATCATGCGACTTTTACGACTGCAAAATCTCCATTTAAAGAGCATTCTGTCTGTCCGTTTATTAATGAGTTTTATGAGGTATAAGAAATGGTTCACACCCACTGCGAAACTTTATCAGTCTTCTACGATATTTCGTTAACAATATTAGAGATATGTTGGCGGTCCTTACAAGGAAAGCATAAAACGTCTAAACTTCAAACCATAAATACAAATACATTGGCGAGTTGTGTTTAAATTATTCGAGAATTTGAAGCCCTTCCAAGACAATAAAGACATCATTTTTCGAGTTTAGCGTTAAAAAAGACGTGACTTTCCACTGTATGCATAGAAGAAAGGATGTTTTGAACGTGTCTTCCACAAAATATATTTGAGTTTATAAGGGCATCGAATTTGAACGCAAAAAATGCATGTTATACTAATGCCAATCTGTTAATGGGTGTCATCTTTTCATTTGTTCAAGCAGGAGCACGTTCAAAAGGCGACATCCAGTCGTGGACAAAATATCTTGTGACTAGCTTGTAAGATATTTGCCTTTGCAACCTCATTTAAGCAATCGTATGTGGTCAAAAATGTATTTCAGGGATTTGTAAGACCCATCTAGAGGTATATAATAAGGACTATTTGTAACCCCCCCAATATGACACTATACTTTAAGGAGACGTCCTAAGAAGTCCGGAATTTCACTACAACTACAACTACTACAAAAACACTTCTCATATAAGTTTTAAGATACGAGCCGCTTAATACCTGCATAATTTGTGATAGACTTTTATAACGAAACGGCGTGACAGGTAGCTCGGCCTTCAACAAGAGGAAGAAATTCGAGTATAAACGTTTGCTGCTTAAAGGTATCATCGGTTTTGATTTAGGTGTGAAACTATCTTGTCGATAGAAGCGAATAGGCTAGTTACAAGAAACGGTTCCGAAGAAAATGCAGTTGTTGGTTCGAGTAATCGATTTCCTCTCGAAACAACCACCGGAGACGGTCCCATGTACAATTTACGATTGATTTCATTCTCTTGATCTAACTCTTCATCTTTACTTAGTTTAAAATCCAAAACCTCTTGAGGACGAAGTGAAACTTTAATAGAAACACATATTTCGGTCAGAGGTGATGGAAATATTTGTTTTAAAAAGGCGCTAAGTGATGCAACTCATAAACTATCGTTAACGAGTGTTGTAGGATCTGTAGGAATAATGCTAATGCTACCCTTTAAATTTATTTCAGCCTAAAATGTCCTTTATCTGAAGACAAATTTTCCTCAAAAGAATTTCATTCAAGAAAAACAGAAGATTTTTAAATAAGACCCCTACTTTCACCAAACGCTATCTGGAGATGGAAAATTGAATTTAATATCTATGAGTATCAGATGAGACTGGCTGGGAAAAATCGCAATTATTTTCCAAATACGAGGAAAGCATCCCACTGTAAAGACTGCGGGTTGCATTTTGTGACATATAACGCAGCAGCAAACTTGTCTGGCAATGGCAGCTGTAGGACTGCCGCGTGGGTTTTTAGCAAATATCTTCACTCTGTGGCGGACTATTGATGATAGAATTGCGCTTAGGAATAAACAAGAGGGGTCAGAGCGATTCTCAATTAGGCAAGGGGACAAGATTACTCGCAAGACACCAAAATGCCTAATCACATGCGCATTCTAAAACATTTGAAAAGGACATTTATTCATGCTCTCTCTGAGCATGAAAAGGTACTAGTAAAAACATTCGAACTTCCCTTAAGAAACGCCATTAAAAGGCGGCTTCTAGTACGAGGTCGGACGGAAAACATTGCTTAATCACCAAGAGTGGAGTTTTGCACAGGCTTGCACTCCGAAAGAGCATTTATTGTTTTGATGTAGTCTTATGTTTAGACGGTCCAGGTGGTCATATATCACAAAAACTTCCTACAAGTGCACACTTTGGCTATAGCAATTTTCGAGGAATGTCGACACCTGATAGTCTGGATACCCATCAAATTCGGAGAGCCAATATGACTCGGTCTGATGAAAAGCCGGCTTCGCTTCGAGATTATGTTCAAGTTGCATCATTTAGGTAATTATATGTTTCGTTTGTTAGACGTCTAGAATAGAAGCTCATTTTCATACTTGTCTGCAAACTCCAGGCTTTGCGGTGTGTGAGAAAGAATGACTGCAGGTAAGATCGGAGAATCTTCTGTCGAAACCTTGTGCCAACTGCTCACAAATATGGCATATCCATCTATGACCTGCCAACTTGCCTTTAAAGTATTTACCACTGAACCTATGCTTCGATATACTCTTATGCCAGATCCCATAACCGTTCTCGACCATCTGATTCCCAACGACTAAAATAATTAGTTCAAAAGAGCAGCGCTGTTTAGAAAGTACTTAATATCAATAAGTAAACTGTCGGGCTTCTTTTCCACTATCAATCCTATCATTATACACGGCTTATGAACCTCTGCAAACTTCATTTGCCTTTGAAAACTCGCACTTAGTTTCAAAAAAAATAAAAAAGGTTAGGCTTCAAAGAAGTCTTTAAAAGGATTTCTACAAAAAATAGTTTCTTCGCCAAAAGCGCAAAAAGTTTGGGTCAAGTATCGTCTGATAAACACTTAGGAAGGAGAATGGTGGAAATATAGCAACTTCCCAATGACGAAGTTTGTCTAATGGAAATGAGACGGAGAGAAAAGTCATTTCCTGCAAGGCTTTCAGTCTCGGTTCGCGAGTACGGGCAGGATGCGGAGTCATATCGCTTCATAAGGATGTTCAGACGCAGGCTTCTCAGCCTCTTCCGGTTGGAAGGCGGCGTTGTCAGCAAACTCGTTCTGCATTCTCATCAGTTCCTCAAAGTCCTGTTTCTCTTTCGTCCTCTTCCGGATCTTCTTGTAGGTGAAGAGGATGATGAAGAGGATGCAACATGCCACTCCAAAGAAGAAGACCACTACGCCAGCGATGTGCCTTGTTCTATCCCCGGATTCCTCGCCAGCACCCCAAGAGCAACCACCAATGAGGAAGCAGAGAGCACTCAAGCTAAAGAGGATAAACAAGACGGGTTCGCCTTCAAATAACAGCATGCGGACGTCTTTTCTGTATCAAGGACCTGGATGAGCAGACTACAGCTGTGCCAGAAATAGTCCGTTTCGCACGCACTTGCGTGTGTGTGCTGAATGAAACCGCACAGATGAACTCATTTCTTGTCACTTGCCGTAGCCCTTGAAAATTTTGCTATTGCCGACGCAAATACTCCTACGTTTGTGCTGCTTTGTCAGCGCGATGATTAGTGCAATTCCACGCGTGCTGAGAGCGTACTGTCTGACAGTCGTTTTGAGCAGATAGTAACGGGGGTGGATTTGGCGTGAGCAGATGTCACGAGACGTTTATTACTGGTGGTCACACCTGCAGTCATCTCTGATTGGCTAGGCAGTCTGCCAGGTGTGGGACTGGTAGTTCGATGCAGTTTTATTCGTACGCCTGAAGGCATAATTCTTACGGTTATGTGACAAATGAGGGTTCAAAAGCATGGTTCTGTGCCGTTATACATCGCTAGGACTTGATTAAAATATTATCTGCCGAAACGCTTATATCCCCTACTTCACTATCTCTCACCGACTAGTAAGCTGTTGGGTCCAGTTCGGAATTGTGACCAAAGTCCGTGACTTATTACAAGCCTGCAATAAATGTGGCTCTTAAAGTAAAGCTCTGAGTAATATTTACTATCCAATATATTTTCGGATATTACAAAAGTATTGACTTGACCGTATATTTATGTAAGAATTCGCAGTTCTCTTGACCTTGATATCCTTTTCAAAAATATTTGAAGTTATTGTTTCATTGGCGATTCACAGGGTTGAACAGTTCGCCTTTAACGTGCATTCCTCTAGTGCACGCTTCTTGGCCTATGATAAGCTGGTTTCGTCATATGCTCAGATTTCAATAGAGATTGTAAGGGAAACTGCTGCTCTGTAGTGGATCGAAAATGCGTTTGCGGTTGAAAACTCACGTAGTGTAAACAGAATATGTCCACATTCCAAAGGCCTTCTGTAGATAAGTGCATGTTTCACTGAGGAGGTAGAAAGAGCACGGTAAAGGCTGAAGAACTTTTTCGGGTAACAATCGGGAGATGGCACCCAAAAAATCCGTTACCTAGAAATGATACTTTTAACAGTGGACTCAAACGCCTTTAGGCTATATCAGCGGTTGCAGGCCTACTTTCACGCACTACTTGGACTTTCCCCGACGGCCTAACATGGGCTGGCCGAACGAACATCGCAGGAGGTTACATGGACGATGGTCGCTGTTACCCAAAATTCCCCATCGTTACAGATGTACACCTGAATATACGGCATATATTCGCATTATGGCAGTTTATTACAAACAAAATCACTTTTAAATAGGATAAGTCTGCACAACATGGGACAAGAACAGTTCCCAGGCATCTGTCAAAGACGTGACATTGAGGCCAAACCAAGGACGATACTGTACCTCGTCTATGTAAGCCCACACAGCCTGACCACATACAGGGCCTCCCTCGTGGAGTTTCCTTTTCAGTCTACTCCAGTATGCCTCAATGGCATTGATGTGCAGTTCGGCGGTAGGGTCCTTGAAGTTCTTTGAGTGGTTAGCAGAGAAACGTAGATAACCTTCTGAGAGGAGACGATTGTACGCCTTCCATTCCTTCGTTACCACTATACTGCCTTTGGCGATCCATTTTGTAATAACGGAACGGAGAGCTGACAAACTTCGGTCATTCACCCGTTCAAATAAGGCTTTCCGCCGGCTAGTATCGTACATTCCGACCAGCCACCACCCATAAAACACCTATTACCACCTGACCCGTAAGACAGGCTGCTATGGTTAGGCGGATTTTTTGGGTGCCATCTCCCGATTGTTACCTTTTTTGAATTACCAGATTATTTCAGCACGAGAAATGCATTACCCTCAGTTTCAGCGTTCGTCACTCCCCCTAAACAAAAACACGATAGAGTAGGAAAAATTCTCCTTGGAGGAATAACGCTAGCCCACTGATGTCAAAACAAGATACTTTCAGAAGAAGAAGAAGATGTTGATGCGATCGCTGGACCAAGAAGTTTATTGGTCTGACGTTTCGGATTCTTAGCGCAGCCCGTCATCAGAGACGGTCGCAGGTAAAGATAGTGGAGGCACAAAGACTGCAGTATTTACAGTACGTAGCTGCCGTGGGGCCACATGCGTACTATAATTAACAGCCCTCGCGATCACCGCTGGGGGTCGTAATTGATGTGATGATGGCTCGTCGGTCCGCGTCCGAGTGGTTGACTGCCGCACTTTCATCACCCGTGTTGCATATTGACGTGACGACTGACGAGCTAACATCGCCTTAATTACTACCCCCAGAGGTGATGACGAGAGCTGTTAATTATAGTACGCGTGTGCCCTCACAGCAGCTACCTCCGCCACCTTTATTTGCAGTCGCCTCTGAGGGTGGGTTCGAGTGAGGATCCAAGACGTTCCAGTGATCGCATCTTTCCCTTTTGAACTGCTTTCCGGAACTCGTCTGATTGCCTCTACCAAAGAGATACTTACAAAAGTTGCATTTTTCAAAGAAGGACTTTTATTCTATTTAAAAGCTCAGTAATGCTTGATTCGTACTCCAACGCCAGCTGGCTTTTTTCCAAGAGTCAGAAAGAGCCTCTTTTAGGCATCATGAATAGACGGTTCAGGGGCTACGATGGGAATATTTTCAGCGACTTTGTCAGAGCATTGTGTTGTAATCTTTCGATGTCAGTTAAAACAGGTTAAATAGGACCCTAAAGGCTGTAAACAGTGGTGTACTTTCCTGCAGATAAACATTGCACCGTAGTGGTTTTGAACAGTTCGACGTAGCGAGACTGTAACAGGGCCAAACCTATTGTGAACAGGCTCCTGTAGAAGGAAGCCTTGGGAAGCCTACCCCGTTTTACTTCATGAGTAGACTATCTTTAAAAAGTTCCTATGAATGTTGTGCTTTTGGCGTAATTTACAGCTGTATAGGCAGTCCATATTCTTAATGGGCTATCTCTCTTTCTTAGACAGTAATGTTCCTGGTCTGTCGACCAGAAATAATTTTTAGAAAGCGCAAACGCGACGAAATATGTAGAACTTGAAGACATGAGAAAATTTTGGGACGTATCAAACTGCTAACGGCCAATGAACATTTATAAACCTAATTGTTTAGTAAGAAAACGGCTCAGGACAACCGGAGGGAAGCAAAAAGGAGGAATATTGATCAGACATGCAGATAGACGAGGTGCGGGGAGGGAGAGAAAAGTGGTGTAGGTGATCTAGTTTGGGTTACAGCAAAATCTCATCAAGAAAAATTACGGCAGCGCAGCATATGACATACGGAGGAGACGGGTGATTAGGTGGGGCTATTTTCCTTCCCGACTCCTTCCTTTACAGTGCGCGGTAAATCCAACTGTTTACATGACTCCGACCTTCTTCTCAGTATTGCTACTGATCCTGAATGGCGTAGGAGACGAGTGAAAGAGTAGTTAAAACCTGGGTGGTGAACCGCCATTGCTAGCCTAAGAAAGTGTCAGGCCATACGAACCTTGCTGAAAAGTTTGTTGCAATGACCTTGAAGGCGAAGTCGTCTAACAGGAGGACGGTCTTCCAATATATCCTCTTGTTCCATCCTCTGACGAATAGCTACTGTTGGTATTATAAATCACTGTCTATTCTATGGATGGCCTATAGTGACACATATATTGTATTTACTATTACAATATTATAGAGTATTATGCAATAGGTATATATTATATTTTGCACTATTATACACTATGCCATATATGCAATATGCGAAAATAAATGATAAGCGCGGACACTAAATACAATAGGTAAATAGAAACAAAAAAAGGTTCTGTGGAAACAGTCGAGTTATACTGGTGAATTGTCAGTTTGATAATCACAACCCTTATCAGACGAAACGAAAACAACGAGAATGGTGAGATTTCCACGCAAAATCATTTGGGGTGTCAAGATAAACTGTTCCAGACAAACGATTGGCGTGTGAAATTGATGAGGTAAACACCCAGTCACGGTAGGTTTTGAGTTGGAGAACAGAAGGAAGAAAGAAGAGTCACGATTCCCAGTGCTAAAGATGCCCCTTTTGTCGTCTTAATAAACTGCGAAGTCGAACGGTTGCATCGGAGACTGAATGATGTCTTCCCAGTCATAAACTTTACTCGTAAATAGGCAATAGAAGACATCGAACCGTTGTTGGATGTGAAAATACGAAGGCTACGCAGTGACAGCCTCGCAACCCCTCCGAACTCTATTCCACCTAGCGCTCCGTTATCGTAGAGGTGACGATCTCCTTAGGAGGAACCAGCTTACCTCAATTGCAAGGCCTCACCCCCACTGGGCAAATCGTGATGCAGAATTTCTATGCCCTGTCCAATTTGCAGTGGACCTTTGAAGTTCAGAAGAAGAAGAAGGAGGAGGAGGAGAAGAAGAAGAAGAAGAAGACGTGATCACTGGAACAAGAAGTTTATTGGCCTGAAGGGTGAGAATCTTCCTGTTCCAGTGGTCTTATCTTCTCCTTCCTCTGAACTGCTTCCTGGAATTTGCCTGTTCGCTTCGATCGGCGAACTTTGTAGTGATCGTCCGACGGCTAAATCGGTTCGGCGTATGCACTTTCCACAAATAAAAGTCCTCACTGCACTCAGCATTACTACGAACAAAAGATTCCATCCATAAAGAGCAGCAAATACACGGAATCTGTCGCATCCCATGCGCTAATTTCTCTTGGGTATATGTTATTTGTACGGGTCGACCTCTGGGCACTCGTATTAATGGACATAAAATATTTGTCCGTTACCGTGACCCCCTGTCCTCTGTCTTTGCCTAGATACTCTAGTGTGGCTATTGATATACGGCACATCTTATGTACATGTTAGATATTATAACATACAGTATAATAATTAAACATGCGTAATACATATTTATTATATAATATTTAACTATTTTGTAACAGTATAGATAATATTTATATCATTATACGTTATCTCCACATTGGCTCTGTCGAACAGCCTTGCTTTCTTAGAAGCCAATCTGTGGTTCAGCTTTTGCGTGTTAGCATAGACCAGAGACATACAACAGCTGGACCATATTTTCGGCTCTGATAGAACAAGGGTGGTCGGCCGAGCCAGTGAGAAGATGGCCAGGCTTGTGCTCGAAAATTGGCCCTTGACTGGTACCCTCGGCCGAGTTATAGACCCGCAACCCGTCTAACCGGCATTATACACACGACTCCGATTGGTTCGGACAAAGCTAATAGGGCAGGCGAGTTCGCGGAGCCGAGAGCCGACGCTCACGGGAACGGGGGGGGGGCGACCGGAGGTCATGTGACCGGCGTCAAATACTGCCTCACCGACGCGTCATTGAATTTGAAAGCAGCTTGCCGTAAACAACGGCTGATCGGTCTGCCGGCTAACGTAAGTGAGAGGCAGGCAGGCACGCTGGATGGGCTACAACTACACCAGTCGCAACGGGAGCAAAAGGTCACGGGAGCCTGCCAACCTTCAACTCCAGAATGGTCAAAGCGATCAGCAGCAAACAGGTGGGTGGGAGTTTGTACGGCTAAAATATGAGGCGGACAGCGAGTCTCAATAATTTAAGACCAGCAGGAACAGCAATCAGACCACTCTGGTGATAGAAACGAGGGAGTTTCCGAAAAGTCAATACAAATACGATGTGACCCATGGATTCGTCCTCTTTTTTCCCCTCGTCATCTTCGGGGATTGATGAAGTCGATATATACGGGAGATGTGTTGCCTCATGAAATGTTGACCAAAATCCTGAAATACGTTTTCCATGTTCAAAAAGATTATTTAAGGAAGGTTATAATACAAATTACTGTGCAGAAAGGATGCCAGATTTGAATGACCGTCTGCAAAAACTACACTCGTAAAAAACGAATATTGTATGATGGATTTTTTCATTGATTTTCGATGTCTCTGTAAATCAAAGTACACTTTGATGAAGGCACAGACAAGAATGTTCTTTCATCTACTCATCTGGTAGCAGACTACGTCTTTTTTACATACACCTGAGCAAAAAGTAAGAGAAGCTTTCAATCCCAGAATAATTTTGACCCCACCACCGGTTGTAGTTACATACAGGACTTCCAAACTGCATGCTGAATGCATACCGTCAAAAGAATATTACGAATTTCCCTACGCTGTTAGGGAGATGTCACAAACATATCATACAATTGTGCAGTGGGTAGGAACCAGGTTGTATATTTTATAAGTAGCGTTAACAAGCGTGCTGATGTGATGCCGTATTAACGGACACATTGCGGTCTTAAAAATCCCAAAATTAGAAACTTTTTAAAAGCCAAAATCCACGCTCACTGTCTTCAAGCGCGAAATGTGAGGAAGACGTAATTGGATAACAAATGATTACATGAAGGAATATCCTTGTTCATGCATTCATTAAAGTATACCTGAATGATCATTCATAATAATTCTTACAGTAGATTGGGAACAATTTGTGATTCAGTCGAAGGAAGGTTCGCTGTGTCACTTATCCACCAGTATTATAGAGACCAACCAAAATAAGGCAACCAACTATGTCCTATGTATGCTAGAATCTGACTAAATTCTAATACGTATACGCGAAAGTGTAGGGAGAGGGCACAAAGGCCATTAGCAAGCAAATGGCTCTGATAATTGCCCAAATGTCATCAAAAGTTAATAAGTGATTTTCCATTATTAATCATTCCGAAACACTTCGCGATAATATATATTTCGTTGACCTAAAGCAGGATTTTCGCCTCTCCTTGAGGCAGTTCTCATTCGGCCTGCTGAATGATATTTGAAAAAAGGGGTTAATAATGGCACAAGTCCGGTTTTCCCGAAACATTTCATAGTCCTTAAGTTTGCGCCTATTTAGCCCAGCCTTTTTTATATGAAATTTTCTTATTAGGCTGCATTTTAAAAACTATAAATTCGTTTTTGTTCACGTTTATCGCCTGGACTAAACCAAGTTCTGATTCATGCAATGCCCTCCAAGTAGCATTGAGACGGAGATAGAAAATGCCTTCGAATACATCTATTACAGTTTTAAGAACCAGCAACAAAACATACTAAAATGAAACTTCAGTGACAATGACTCGCAGGGAAACGCGGTTTCAGAGGCCATAGAGGTTTCGGAGAGAGCTAAGTGATGACCTATTCCAAATTAGGCCTTCAAAATAAAAAATCAACTTGCGGCTGATGTAACTGGGAGAATTTCTCAAGACTACGACATTTTAAAGAGATACGGTGTTAATTTTTACGTTCCCAAGCCGAAGGCGTTGCGTTATTTCACTGATGACGTCTACTGGGTCGAGTGCGTTGTATGGCGACTATAAAGCTAGATGATTGAGTATGAGTGCCTCGCAAAAAGTTTTCAAACATTTCTGTCGGTTTATATTCACCGCGTTCTTTAATTTTTTTTCAGTTTATTTGATAAGGATAATATGCAAAGCCTTTGAAAACCCTATTGATTACATGTCAGCCCGTTAGAAATAACTGTACACGAACAATGAAAATATCCGCTATTAAAACAGCACTTGATTCATTTGAGTAGCATTTTAGCAGATAAAATATTTGCGGGGTTGTGGGGTATTTAGCTCAGGTTCAGGCTGTCGGGGGAAACAGGAGACACAAATGATCATCCAAGCGTTTCTTGAAGAGTTGCAGACGCGTCGCCTCTAAGATAGACTGAGGGAGATCGTTCTATGTCTCCACTACTCTGCGTGAAAAATTCAGAACGAAGATTCAGCCTGGACATTGTTGTCTGTTGCTTCATCGAGTGACCACGAAGACTGGGTGAAAGGTGCCAAGGAAACATGTTCTCAAAGCCAAGTCCATGTTCAAGGCCATGTATTATCTTGTAGACGAAAATAATATTACCTCTTTACTGCCTGTAACACAGAGAGAATAAAGTAAGGCAATTCAGTCTGTCTGTGTAGAACTGGCTTTTTAGACCGTCTGCCAGCTTTGTTGCACGACGTTGAACCCATTCGAGGCATGCTTGGTCCTTTACTAGCCATAGCCGCCACGCTTGTATGCCATATTCTAAGTGGGGCCGAACAAAGGTGCCGTAAACTCTTCTAAAAAGGTCTTGGTCAAAGGTTACGAACGCCATTTTGATTGCATGAAGCACTTCCATGGCGTTTTTGCAGCGCTGGTTTCATGTCGCCCTGTATCCAAACCCCGATATCCTTCTGTGAAGATTCTGCGGGGAGCCTTATATCTTTCAGGTGATATGTCCTTAGGCTCTCATTTGAATGAGATTTGGTTGGACGCGGATGAAGGACGGCACACTTCTGCACATTGAAATCTAGAAGACATTTCTCCGACCACGCTTTCAGTCGATGCGGATTGTTTTGAAGGTTTCTCTAGCCGTAAAGACTCTTAATGACTTTCCAGAGCTTAACGTCATCGGCAAACATTATTTTGCCGCCGTCGAGCTCCTGAAGGCTGTCATTAACATAAAGGATGAAGAGCAATGGTCCGCCTTGAGGCACACCACTGGTCACGTTCACCCATTCTGACATATCATCTCCGATACAGACACGTTGTTTCCGACCGACCAGAAATACCCTTATCCAGTTCAGAAGATCTCCCCGGATGTCGATTGTGCTCAATTTGTGAAGAAGGCGTTGGTGCGAGTCAGTGTCAAAAGCTTTGCGTAAATCGATGTATACGACATCGACCTCAAAACCCTCTTCTAAAGCCCTGGTCCAGATCTCCAGACAAGCTAGCAAATCTGAGATGCAGGAACGCGCTCTCCGGAAGCCATGTTGAAAATCCCGCAAAATGCTATTCTGTTGACTTGACGTGTTCGCCACACGAGGCAGCGAAAAGTTTTTCTTTAGGCAACGAGTAAACCATTGCTACTATGATGAATTACGTAGTACAAAATTGGCCTCTATTAACTGATTGTGCTGGTCTGACGCGGTATACCCAGTAGAATGTATGGGGTAGCAGAATATTTTGAAGATGCTTACCTGTCCTGGGAAGTGTTGCCTACGGGAACCAGCCACTCAGAGTTTCGCTGTTATAAAGTAGACATTGTCTCACTGAAACTGTCAGGTCTTCCTGCCGCACATTCCGTCCTATCAGGTTGTCTTCGGATCAAAGATTCTGAGATCATCGTCTGTTGACATGGGAGTGTTTCGAAAAAAGTGCAGAGGTTGTGTTCGAGAACACTGACGTCACTTTATTTGGGTTTTACGAACATCTTCATTAACTCTACATACTCTCTACTTCATTATCAAACATGCTTTGAACCGTGTTCACTTCACCTTGACTGCTTTGCAGTTAAAATGGTCCTTGCATTGCGTAACATTTGGACTGCTTTTCCAAAGCACCATAAGCACCATGGATGTTAGCATGTGAATCGACGTCAGAATTTAAACGCTTGCCAAAAATCGGTCTCTCTTTTAGACTTTCGACAGTGGTAGACATATTAATTGAGC